ACATGCAATCTGACGAACGCGAGTGGGAGCGTTTGCTCCCGGTCCTGGAACTTGCTTACAACTCAACAAGTCATTCCTCCACCGAGCTCTCTCCCTTCGAGGTCATGATTGGCTAGAATCCGCTGACTGCTGCGAACCTTCATATTGTAGGCGCGTTAGCTCCTACACTCACTCCTCCGATGACTAAGCTTTTCCGACAGCTCTGCGACAGAGCGCAGAGCCACATACAGAAGGCAAAATGGCAGCAGAAGTATTACGCAGACACAAAGCGCCGAGCTGTGGGGTATGCAGTGGGCGACAAGGTTTGGCTCAACAGCAAGCACCTACTGGCTTCATCTAGCTGCCCTAAGTTCGAGCCCCGTTACAGAGGACCCTTTGAAATCATTGAACGAATAGGCACCGTCGCTTACCGTCTTGCTTTACCTCTTACTTATGAATGCCGTAACGCTTTTCATGTTTCGCAGTTATTTCCCCACCGCTCCCGGCCTCCAGAGTTCGTTCCCCAAGAAGCCGATGCTGCCTGGCCCCCTATCCGCGATGCGGCCAACAATCCGACAGAGGAGCGTGAGGTCGATTATATTATGGACCAACGCGGCTCAGGCGCCGACGCCCAGTACCTCATCAAGTGGCGCGGCACCCCCGAAGATCAAGCCACGTGGGAGCCCGCTAATCACCCAACAGACTGTCAGGCTTTGCTCCGTTCTTGGCACCGCCATCAGAGAAGACGTGTTCAGGCAGGAAACAATATCACTCCTTCCGCGGCGTAGTGGTTTGTGTCCCACAACTTGCGCCACATGACGGTCTTCAATGACGACGTGGGGAAGGAAGCGCTGCGCACCGCATGCGCTCATGGCATTAGCTTCACAAGGGAATAGAGACTGAAAAGGAAGAAATGATGTGTTCTGGGTAGGCTGGTTCAGTCCGGCAAGGGGGGAAGGTGTACTGCGCAGGCACCAGAATAGGGCTTGCTGGTGACCTATAGAGGATAGCTAACTGATGACCTATAAGCGATAAAGAGGTTGAGACGCGGATTGAGCGCTGTAACCTCTTACTAGTGAAATAGAAAAGCAATGTATGAGCAAATTAACATGTATAAACTAGAAATGCCTGCGAATGGCGTAAGATTGGGGCTGCCGACAACGCCGGCACGGGCGCGCGTCATATCCTCACCAGACCAGCAAAGCAGGAACAATGAGAAATAACTTTTATGAAATATGATTTTGAGAGCTTGAAACCAAATGGTCTTTTTAATAATTTAGCTGACGTTAAGTAACCGATATGTCTGTACAAGAGAAGATTTCATAGAGCGCCCGAGTTGTGGTCGTGCACTGTAACGCACAGCACCTACTGCTGCGACTACGCTGCTATCTGCCCCCTCGAGTAGGGGCCCACGATAACCGTATACCAACGGCGCATTTCCTTGAAACACTAAACGAAATATCACGAAATACGTTTGTTCATAGTTTTTTTAAATCCGTTATCTCAAAATACCCCCCACTCGGGATTCTCGCCTCCTAGGCCCTCTGGGGAGGAGACCTGCATCGGTGCCGGCGCTATCGCCAGCCACAATCTCTGGGTATTTTCAGGCATATCTAGTGTATACCCGCTAATTTGCCGGCAAATCGGCTTACTTCAATCCTAGTAAGAGGGTCCTGTCCTCCTACCGTGTTATGACTTCTTGTAGGTCACCGGCTAGCTCTCTTCTAAAGGTCACCAGCAAGCCTTATTGTAGAGCCTGTTCACTACAACTTCCCCTCTTGGCGGACTGAACAGACCTACTCAAACCACGTTATTTTTGCCTTTTCAATCTCTATCATCTTCTGAAGCTAACGCTGTGAGCGCATGCGGTGCGCAACGCTCCCTCTCCACTCCTTGTTGAAGGTTGCTCGTCCTGCAGGCGGCGGAAGGTGACGGGCCCAAACCTCTAGGCCTCGGAAGGACCAAGATTGTTTCGAGCCTGAAGGCGTCTTCGTTGGGGGCGGCGCCAAGCGCGAAGCAAAGCCGGGCACCCTGTAAGGTGGTGAGCGGGCTCCCATGAGACTTGATCTTCAGGGGTCCCGCGCCACTTCACGAGGTACTGAGCTTCATCTCCCTAGCCGCGTTGGCCCATAATGTAATCGACTTCACACTCCTCTGTTGGATTGCCTGCTTCATCGCGGACAGGAGGCCAGGCGGTGTCGGCTTCCGGGAGAACCAAGTCGGGAGGGCAGGGACGGTGGGGAAATAACTGCGAAACGTGGAAAACGTCGTGGCATTCATAGGTGGGAGACAGAAAGAGACGGTAAGCGACGGTCCCTATGCGTTCGATGACTTCAAAGGGTCCGCGGTAACGAACTTAGGGCAGCTGTTGAAAGCCGGTGAGTGCTTACTACTGAGCCAGACCTTTTCGCCCACTGCATACTCCACGGCTCGGCACTTTGTGTCTGCGTAATAATTCTGCTGCCATTTTGCCTTCTGTATGTGGCTCTGCGCTCTGTCGCAGAGCTGTCGGAAAAGCTTAGTCATCGGAGGAGTGAGTGTAGGAGCTAACGCGCCTACAATATGAAGGTTCGCAGCAGTCAGCGGATTCTAGCCAATCATGACCTCGAAGGGAGAGAGCTCGGTGGAGGAATGACTTGTTGAGTTGTAAGCAAGTTCCAGGACCGGGAGCAAACGCTCCCACTCGCGTTCC